CCGAACCTAAATCAGAGTTATCAAAGAAGCCCAATGTCAGGCTCAGGTCCTCTGTCACCCAAGAAAAACCCTGACCGAAACTGCGTAAATCCGTATGCCTCTCTGGTTAATATAATGAGATATAAGCGTGCAAGTTAGGTTACGAAATCACCTGTCCTAAACTCTCAGTCTAGGGTCATTGGAGTTTAATCACCCAAAAAAAGATGTGGAATGGAATTGTGTAATCTCGTACATCTGGTTTGGTTGGTGAGCTTAATCTAGATGTTAGACAACTGTGCGTAAGGTTGAACCATCATCATTTTATAGAAGTGGGTTGACCTCGTTGTCGCAACTTGGTCTTGTTGTCAGTGCGAGTATGTAGAGCGTACCTAGTCCGAAGTCGCCTGTCATAGTAGTTGTCATGATTCCCAGCATCGGACAGTGGACTTGATACATTCTCAAACGTTTCGCCGGCATCATAGTCGACATCATCAGTGAGTTTTGCCATTCGCCGCACCAAACCACTAGTGAGAAGTTGTGATAGGGCGGCAGTGGGATTAGAGGGTAAAGAGTAGATGGATAGGCCAGGACAGAAAGAGAAGTGATAGTGTAACCGTTTTCGGCAGAACGTTTGTCAAAGGATTGACTTGAATTGTCTCTTTGACGAGTTTGTAGCTTGGTGTGGAGAATGGCAAAACTAATTGATGATGCCGACTATGATGCCAGCAAAACTTTTGAGAATGTATCAAGTCTACTGTCTGTTGCTGGGACTCATGACGACTACTATGGCATACGACTTCGGACTAGGTGTATTCTACATAGTCCCCCTGACAACAAGACCAAGTTGCGACAACGAGGTCAACCAACTTCTATAAATCCAATTAAGGCTGCGACCATAACAGAGGCCACAACATCTTGGTCTTCATAAATTCATCATCATTTTGTTTGAAAAGACAGGTAAAGAAAGATTTGACAGAATTGCCTCACTGTACAGACGAGACTTGTGCTTGTAACTGCTGGATTATGTGATATCGATGGATTCATACTCAATTTAGTCCATCATCTGACGGGCAATATGGTCTTTTTAAGTGACAGTTCGCAATAGACGGTTTCAAGCTCTGACAATTTCTGTCGTATGACAGATGAAAATGCACCACGTAGTCATTGGTGCCGCATAATCCAGCAGTCACAAGTCCAAAGTAATCCTCTTCTTCAGTCTCCGGTAAGGCAAATCTACCAAATTCTTCTACCTATTTTTTCAAAACAAAATGAAGGCTATATAAAGTGTGCTCATCTTGTTCGCTATAATATGATAATGTCACTGAAAGCTGAATTTTTCAACAATCAGATGAGTAGACCTTACGTTTCCAGTGAATTTAAAGTAGCCTTGCTTTCAGAAAAGATATTTTCACCCAAGGTGAGACTGCCATTTTGACCTCGTCTAGATCATATCAGCGACCCCCAGCCGGACTCGATCCATGACAGTGCAGCGTACAATCTCGACTGGTAGTCTCAAAAACCAATTTACAAACGAAAAATCAGTAATGTAGCCGAAGGCCATAGTAAATATAACCTTGCTTCATCGACAAACCCACCATAGAATGAAAATGCATGGCTTTCCTTGAAACTCAAGGTTCGAGTCCCACTGGGAGGTGTTGGTAAGAGCTAGACGAGATCGAAACTGTCGTCCATCCTCGACAAGAACACCCTCTGGGTAAACAAGGCAATGTGAAATTCACCGGAAACCCAAGGTCTACTCATGTGATTGTGGGGAAAGTAAACTTCCAGTTGCCCTATCATCTTAAACGAAATAGGGCAAATCTATCTTACACAATGAAAGCTACACCAACTTCAATCCATTATGGGATTTGTAAACAACCAACTTATTATCATCATTAAAAGCTCCATTAAATGTGCAGAAATCAGCTCACACAACCTAGGTTGTGTGTTGGGCAAGGCGGCGATGGAGACGAAGATAAATGTGGAGGTGCAAGTGGAGGCATAAGCTATAGACGCAATGGCAGAAGCTGCATCCGGACGCGACAACGTACAGAGTGTGTTCAGGACAGCATTCTGCCGTTTCGACCAGGGTCCTGGACCTGCTGGCGTGTAGGCTCGCACTGCGCACATGCAATTCGTCGCCTCGGGCTGCCATGACTCCGGGTGGATGCCCCAATCGCTGGGTCCGGTCGACGTCTGCCCGGCCTCCGGCTCGGCCTTGGGCGGTACCGGAGAGTGCCAGAGGGGGCTTGCCGGCTGACCGTCGAAGAGGACGCGGAGGAGGGGCACGACGCCGTGCGGCCAGACCCACGCAGGCCAGGCCGCGGACATGGCCATCTCCCTTCGGCCAGCAGACGAGCTGCGTCCCTTCTTTCGCCCTCTTCGCGTCACCTGGTCCCCGGGACTCGGGCTCCAGACGGTCGCGGCTCTGCTCGCCGCCTGCGTGAGGTTGAGACGCCGCGGACCCGTCGACTTTCTGAGTCCGCCCGACGCCAAGCCAGCCGTATTGGTTGCCAAGGTCTGTGACGTCAGGAGGTCGGCTGAAGCCTGTGCCCGACCAGCCCAGCCAAAGCTGACGGGTTCGCAGTGCACCTCGTAGGCGGACAGTCGTCCGTTGTGTCCGGACAGGGAGGTTGGTGAACGCCAAGAGATCAAGTCGAAGACGCCCAGTTGCCTGACAGATCGAGATATACTCCTCACTCCGGAAGGAGGCAAAGTCGGCTCTGCAGGAGTGTAGAAACGAATGCAGAAACACATACACAAATGTGCATATAATATAGGCAGAGTCAGGTAGAGAACCCCTACTCGGCTAGTCGTGGTGCGCTTCGAGGCAAGTTGATAATATGAGATTTATTCACCAAATTTCGTTTAAGGTGATGAAGTAATGGTAGAAGAAGAATTTTCCCACAATCTTATGAGTTGAGCTGACAATTCCATTGCAAATTCTTCTTCCACCAGTCCTTCATCACCTTAAACGAAATTGGGTGAAAACATCTCATATTACTGATTTACTGGTAGTCACGAAGGCGAGGTCGAAACTGCAGCCAATTTCCACCTGGATAAGAATAACTTTCGGGAAGCAAGACTAAATGAAAATTTATTGAAAACATGAAGCCTATTCGTATCGTTGTGGGAAAATCTAAATATCAGTCCTTCATTGCCTTATGCGAATTAAGGCGACTAGAACTGATATTCAGGATTTATTAACAATTTAGAAGCCTAGTTCGTATGAATAGAATTTGAATTGCCTTTTAAATATCGTGTCTAGTCCTGAAAAATAGTGGATTGGTTTATAGAAATTACTGAAAATATTTTTCTATTATATGGGTAATTTTAAGTTTTTAACCCTTTGACATTTAAAATAACTGCTAAAATCACCTTCGAGGAGCGAATAAAGTCCTAATTCCTTTGGTAACAAGTAATACGAGCCCCAGCACTATGCTATATTTTCGTTATTGAGTATGCAATCAATGCATCATATGACTGAATTAGTAAGACATTAAACTTTCGAGTGCAAAATATAGTCAAACTAAATGCTTTGGGTCCGATTGTTCTTGATTTAAACGCGAACTATATAGAAATTATCCATAAGGAAGCAAAGGTATGCAAAACGGTGAATGTGAGAACTTAAAAATTCTGTGCACAGTAAAGAAAATAAACTGATGAGCTCTGCGGTATATGAACAGAGACAACCTAGCTGAAAACACTGACTGGGTCCTATTTTGGAAATTATACCATACACACTTACTTCAAAGACATGCCTTATAAATTTTGAAAAATCTACCTCTCAAAGTGTATCCAAATATATTTGAATGATCAAGGGCTAAATGTGGTATATTTTCAATCATTTTCAAATAATTTACAGGATTGACGAATCACCGACGAAGATATATAAGCTAAATTACACTTATGCTAGCTCCGCTAATTAAATAGAAGATATGAAGACCAAGATGGTGTGGCCCC